AGGATCAGAGATGGAGATGGAATCGAGGTGTCGAAGGAACTTGAATCAAACGAGATGTTATCTGAGAATGCGGAAGACGTTAGAAGGGAGGACAAGGATTTTATTGGGCTAAATAAGTTTCACGGTCAGAGCCCAAATGATCTTTGAACGTCAAATGGGCTTGGCAAATTTTCAGCCCATGGCTTTGCAAAGGGGCTAGAGTTAGAAGTTGGGCCAAGATTAGAAATGAGCCCATTGTTATTATAGAAGAAGGGGATTAGCACAATGGCCCATTATTAAGACAAGAGGGTCAATCTTCTCAAACCCAGGCTTTCATCCAAAGGGGTAATGGCAGATCATGATATTCCACAGATTAGGGCTTCTTGTTCGCCTGATACACTTGATGGAGGAAGAAGAAGGTCGATGGGTGGTGCGAGGCCTAGCGAAGCACTGAGTGATAGGCAAAAGATCTCTGAGGTCCCAAAATCAGTCCTCAACGAATCTGAAATTCATTTGGGCTTAGCAAACATTGTCGACAGATCAAAGGATGATGCTCTGTTATGCGGAATATTGATGGCTGAGCATGAGGTAGGAGGAGAGGCTGCGATACTCGATGATGAGGTCATTGGGAGAGATCAGCTAGTGGAGGATGTGGAGGAAGGAAAGTACAATACCCATGAGGCGTTACAAGCTCTTGAAGGCTACAGGTCAATTTACAGCTCAGATGAGTCAACATTTCCAAAAGATGAAGATGATAATAACTAACTGTTAGAGGAGGATTTTGATCCCAAATTGAATTGGCTTTTCTAGGATGATGAGATTCTGCCACCTTCTTGCGCAAGATTCACTGAGGTCCTAGACAGTGAGAAGGCCTTCAACTCTGAAAAGATTGAGCATGCAGAGAAAAGGTTTAAGATTCACATTCTTCCAGTTCTAAGCACACTGTGAGGCCTAAGGGTGAGAAAGTCTTTGACTCTTGTGAAAAAGTATGCTGACTCTTTTGACAGCGACAATATGAACTCTTCACTTCCTAATCATCTTTAGTGTATTCAATCTGAGTCAGTTCTTGGGTCCTTTTTTCTTACATCCTAGTAGAGTGTTTTCTACAAAGAATGATAATTTTCTTCAGTTATCTGCAAGTAGGTCCTCTACTAGTGATGGGTCGAACCCACAGGCGATTAACATGGATAACCATAGGAATGATCTTCCAATGGAAGTGTCTACTAATCATAGGCTTCAGAAAAGCAATGTTCTTGGGAATGGTGGTGATGAATCTGAGATGTGGTTGAGGAAAATGAGCAAGTATGTGCCTTTCCCTTTGGAGGAGGGAAAAGTGCCTCACTTTGTACAATTGCTTGACACTCTTGGTCTGTCACTAGTTAGGAACAATGGAATGAAGCCTAGGTCTAGGAGTGTGGGGTTTGCATCTTAGGGGGTAGTAGTCATAGAAGTTCGGGGCTTAGAAAAGGGATGAGGAAACTGAGGAATCTTGAAAGTGGCATCAATTATGAGGGTCTGGGGAAGAGACAAGGGGTGATGCTGGTTGTCGATGAAAATTTTGAATTGGAATGTTAAGAGGGCTGCAGTCCCGTAGGAAAAGGATAGTAAGTAATTAAAGAGTTTTTGAAAGTTCATCAACCATATATACTGATGTTTCAATAGACGACGAATGAGGATTGTTCATTAGGAGTGTTTGGAGAACCCGGTTTAAGAGATGGGTTGTTTTACCTTCTAGTGGGAGATCGCGAGGAATTTTGATTATATGATACAAAATAGTTGTATTGGAATGTGAGATAGTTGTTGGGGTTTTTTCATTGTCCATTAGATTTGGGAACTGGGATAACAAGAAATGTTGGTTGACAGGGGTTTATGGTCCCAACAAGCCTAGTAGTTGTCAAGCACGATGGGAGGAGTTGTCGGGTTTATTTGGGCTGTGTTCTCCTAATTGGTGTGTGGGTGGGGATTTCAATGTGGTTCGACTTAGTTCGGAAAAACTCAATAGGGTTTCCACAAATAGGAGTATGTGGGACTTTGATTCTTTTATAAGGGCGTGTGATTTGATTGATCTTCCCTTAAGTAATGCTCGGTTCACGTGGCCTAATCTTCAGGAGAATCTTATGTGCTGTAGGTTGGACAGATTTCTTTATACTTTAGGGTGAGAGGAGTTGTTTCTGGATATAAGGCAAGAGGCAGGGCCAAGAGTTTGTTACATCACTCTACAAAATTCTAACAAAGGTGCTTTCTAAGAGACTTTGGGTGGTCCTTGGGGAAACCATTTCTTCTACACACGGTGCCTTTGTAGGGAAGGCAGATATTGGATGTTGTCTTAGTGGCAAATGAGGTAGTTAAGGAGTATAGGGGATTACATGAGGAGGGTGTTGTTTTTAAGGTTAATTTTGAAAAAGCATATGACCAAGTTGATTCGGGCTTTGTGGATTTCGTTTTGGAAAGGAAAGGGTTTGAATCCAGGTGGAGAGGTGGATTTGGGGGTGCTTGTCGTCATGCACTATGTCAGTCATTGTGAATGGCAAGGCTGGGGATCCTTTATCACCATTTTTGTTTATTCTAGTCGCTGATGTGTTGGGTCGGATTATTGACAAAGCTAGGGATAAGGATGTGGTGTCATTGAGGGTTTTGTGGTGTGAAGAGATAGGATTGGAGTCACTCATTTGCAATTTGCGAATGATACTATATTTTTCTCATCAGAGGAGGAAAGTAAAGTAAGTAGTTTGCTAAAGATTTTGAGAATTTTTGAAATTGTATCGGGTCTCAAGGTCAATCATAGCAAAAGTAGTGTTGTGGGTATTAATCTGGGAGATAAGTATGTGCAAAGGGTGGGGGATATGTTGGGATGTTCCATTGAATCCTTTCCTCTCAAATACTCGAGGCTTCCATGGGAGGAGATCCTGAATTGACGTCCTTTTGGGAGCCTATTCTTGTCAAAATTGGGAAAAGATTGGAGAGATGGAAGCGAGCTTTGTTGTGTAGAAGGAGACGATATACTCTGGTACAATCTGTATTAGGCTCTGTTCCTATTTCTTTCCCCTATTCAAAATTCCGATTAGCATTGTGAGGAATATTGAGAAATTGATAAGAGATTTTCTTTGAGAAGGGTGTGAAGAGGGTAAAAGGATTCATTCCAATAATAAATAATTGTATCACCTACATACTGTAAATGAGGCATGCAAATCTTGTCCATCCAATAACAAACCTATCAACTAATCCAACCTCCCTAGCTCTATCACATCTACCACCAAGATAAACAGGGAGACAAAAAAAAAAGATGAAGAAGAAGACAATGGGTCAACTTATCTCAGACCTCGAGATGCCCTAAAGGTTTTCCCCGTCTTTCTATTGACAATGATTGATACATCACAAAGCTAAAAAAACAAAACAATCCAAATTTAATAGACACTACCCAATTATGAAAAACAAAGTACATAAACAAAAGAGCATAAATTCTAATAATCTAAAGGGTAAATATCACTTAATATATTGACCGATTCTCACTTTGCCCCTTAAGCTTTAAATTTTCCCAATTGAGCACTTACACAATTTGACTTTTTGTATGTATAATCACTTTGGAAAATCCATGGAAATCTCACCCACTTAGCTTACGGAAATTTCACTTTGTATTGACCAAATAGGCCCCAAGGCAATCCAAGGAATTTTCAAAAAAGAATTGGCCTTAGATGTATGCTATACTATAACTAATTTATCGACATTATACAAACTATAACTAAAAATACATACTGATATCTTCCCACCATATTTTGACATAATAGAGCATTTTAAAAACTACAAGATTGACCACACCACGTCATACTCATTCATCAACCTCCTACCATCATCTTATGATCCCCACCCCCCTCCCTTCCAACTTGTCCACAAACTTGCCACACAAACACCATAGTGACCCCACCATCACTAACTCAACTACCAGAAAACCCCTAACCCACTGGTTTTTCTCCCTCACCTCTATGCTTAGTCTATAACTAATTGGAATACATCAACAATCATAAACCTATGCTAAACATTCCCAACCAACTTGTACCACCTCTACCTTGTGCATACACCTCACTCCACCCCACCCCCAAACTCAGGCACCATCACCATCACCATCACCATCACTATATCACAACCGCCAACTGCACATGCCCTCTTCTCCCTCCACAAAACCACCACACCTCCACCCCACCATCAAATCCAAGAAACATTACCACCACAACACTCCACTATCCATGCCTCTCCATCTCTTGCCCGGGTCCAGCAATCCACTACCTCTACCCTCCACTGCCACACCCATCAAACCAATAATTGCCACCAAAACTAAAAACCACAACGCTCAGAACACTCAGAGTACATATATATGGAGAGAGAGAGAGAGAGAGAGTAATTACATTCACAAAACCCATCCACTAGTCCACCAGCATCAGCACCCAAGCCACCACCACAAACCCAAAGCGGCTGCCAGCAAAATCAGCCCCACATTGCCACTTAAACCACCCCCGCATCTCAATTAAACACCCCTACCCCACCACATGCACACCCCACTCCAAATCTAACATTATTTTGTATAACATTGCTACATACATTTACTGATCTAGATCAAATATACTATTATGATGATGATGATGACAACTCAACTCAACCAGCCATGGGGTTGGCTGCATGAATCTTATATTAACATCGGCAATAATTCAAGTGAAACCACAACATATACATATATAGTAAGTGATCAAGTTCAAATAATTATTCCACATGCAGTTAATTAAGGCCAGCAGCCCCACCTCATTCTCCCTATGGAGGGTTTGTGGCATTTGCCTAGGTTTGATTCATAAAAAGGTGGGAGGAGGGTTGTCCCCACCCAAACACCTTCCATGCACATCTTAAGAAAGGATATCCTTATTGCATGAAATAAAAACAATCGTACATCAACGATCTCAAGAATTAGAAACTTTCAGCCACATCAATTATACAAATATAGAGGGGGGAGAAAAAAAAGGAGCTTGTCATGTTACCATTATTTATAAATTGTTTCATGGAAATCTCATACTCTACAAGACCACGCACAAGTATACACCAGCCAAGGGCAATATACCGGTCGTCTTTCCTTCTTATGATGCCGGCAAGATTTGTTGCAAGAGCTTGGAAAATAATTTCATCTTGAAAAAGCCAATTAAAAAGTATCATTGCTTGGTTACCATGCTTTGATTCCTTGTGTTTCAATGACTGGGGAAAAATTAAAAAACAAAAGAGGATATCAATGACAAATTATAAACAAAATTTAAAGAAACTGATATTATTAAAAACAAATAGGCATAAACTACTAGTGAATAAAGAAGGGAGGGACTTGCAACAGGTAAAAGGATTGGGAAAAGAATGGGTGCAGTGCTGTGACGGAGTAGAAATTTTAATCCCCATAAACCCAGAGAAAGAGACAAGGAAAAAGGGAGAGAGAGAGAGAGAGAGAGTTCACAGCAATGCAAAAGGATAAAAAGAAATTTCCAAATTATATTGGTATAGTACATCAATTAAAATGACTTTTAAATTGAAATGAGAAATGGGTTTTTTTTTTTTTTTTCAGAATTCCATCACGCCATTAAAATGGTAATATGAAATTAAATTTTCTTCTTGATATTTAATTAACTTGAAATAGAAAGGACAAACAAGAATGAATTCTGAAAGTTGATGTACATGCTGAGTAATGGGAACGAGGATTTCATCCAAAGACTCCTCCCTCTGAGCTGCTTCTCTAACGTAGGTGTGAAGAATCCACAGTGATTCTTCCAAAGTAACTGCAATAATGCAATAATACCAAGTTAAGATTATTTCATAACTTGAATAACATACAAGAACAAATTCAAAGTTTTAATAATTGTCTGTCCAAATTTCAGTAAACTTGTCTTTCTTCAAAAGTTGTAAAGATCACTCAAGATTATTTGCTGTCTCGCGCTCTCTCTCTCTCTGAAATGTTTTGGCTTTGAAAAACGTACCAAATGAGCCTCTTTTGGGAGGAGAGTGGAGTCGAGAAATAGCGTCTTGAAGCTTCTTGGGACGGGCACTGAGCAGAGTGCTCATCACTCGACCAAGCGTCGCTGATACCATCGAGTTGGAGTTGGAGTCGGAGTCTGTTGATGGCCAGAGAACCTGCTCGTCTTCCATTGGTGAGAACAGTCTGGAATCGATCAACCCTAGCTTTAGGGGGTTCAATTCGAAGCTAATCGAGTCAGATTGGGATATATTGGAACAACAGCAACAGCAGGGGATAGATTAATTGAAATTTGAAACTAACGAAAGCAAGGCAAGCAGTCAAAACTGGTTGAAACTAGGGTAGGGTTTTTATTCTGGCAAGTCGTAAGCTTTCCATACCACATGCCGGTGCAAACCGAACTTGTTTTACGGGGATTTTTTCAAATTAAGGTAAAATAGTAATTTATTTTTTAAATTAGGTTTAGTTTGGATGGAATTTTTAAATTAAACTAATACGTTATTATAAACTACCCTTTTTGTGGCCCTCTCATGAAAAATTTGTAAAATTATAAAAGCGTAAAGCGTAGTTACAAATCACGCATTTAAAGAAATTTGATTTATACATAAAGCGTTGTTAGGAATCACGCTTTTAAGTAAATTTTATTTTTTTCAGAAAACGTGGCTGCGAACCACGCTTTTACTGTTGCTATTAGCGTTGTTAAGCCACAATGTAAAAACGTGTTTTCAAAACACGTTTTCAATGAAAAATCAAAACCAGCACTCGCACTCTTCTTTCTCACACTCACTCTCACTCTCTCTCTATAACACACACACCCACAACACTCACTCTCTCTCTCTCTTTGTGACACACACCCATAACACTCACACACTCATATCAAACATATATAATTTTTAATATATATAAATTTTATTTTATAAAATTGAGACCAATATTAAATATATATATATATAATAATAATAATTTATAATAACAAATAATAATCAACTATATAATTTTTGTAAATATAAATCATTTTTATATAATTTTTATCTTTTGAGTGGTTAGAAATAATTTTTTACAAATTAAATTGAAACAACTATACGTATGTATATAACATGTCCAAAAGTTAAAATAATAATTATTTTTTACCCTTAAATGATAATTATTTTTTATTTTTTATTTCTTAACCAAATTAATTTTTACTAACAAAAAAAAAATTCAATGAATTTTTTTTCAAATAACTTTTTTTTCAATTAATTTTGTTTTTCAAATAATTTTTTTCCAATTAATTTTTTTTTTTTCAATGAATTTTTTTTTTCCAACTAGTACTGACCGATAGGGCAATTGGTAATGCTACTTTAAACCTTAGGGAGGGAATTGTAATTTCTAAAATGTGAAGGGTGTCAATATAATTTACCCAGTGAGGGAAAATTTGGTATTTAAAAAAATTAAATTGCAGGGGAAATCTGTAATGAAACTTTAAACCTTAGGGGAGAGATGTAATTTCCAAAAGGTGAGTGGAGAACTGTAATAAACATAAACCTCAAGGGGTGTCAGTGTAATTTACCTAAATAAAAAAAATTAAGAATTAAAGTAAAAAAGTAATCATTTTATATAGTTGATTATTATTTGCTATTATAAATTATTATTATATATATATTTAATATTGGTCTCAATTTTATAAAATAAAATTTATATATATTAAAAATTATATATGTTTGATGTGAGTGTGTGAGTGTTGTGGGTGTATGTGTCAGAGTGAGAGAGAGAGAGAGAAAGAAGAGTGTGAGTGCTGGTTTTGATTTTTTATTGAAAACGTGTTTGAAAAAACACGTTTTTACATTGTGGCTTAACAACGCTAATAACAACAGTAAAAGTGTGGTACGCATCCACGTTTTTTGGAAAAAAAAAAAAAAAAACAAATGTTACTTAAAAGCGTGATTCCTAACAACGCTTTATGTATAAATCAAATTTCCTTAAACACGTGGTTTGTAACCACGTTTTCTTAATTAAAAGCGTGGTTTGTAACCACGATTTTACAAATTTTCTACGGAAGAGCCACAAAAACGGTGAAAGTGTGGTTTGTAATAGCGTTTTACCTTAGTTTGGGAATTCCGTCCAAACTAGGCCTAGTTTGGGAAATAAGTTGCTATTTTGCCTTAATTTGGGAAAAGCCCCTATTTTCTGCTCCATTTGGTAGACCAATTGGAAGCCAATCGGATAGTGATTATTAATTATGACTTTAATAGTTTATCGGTTATAGTTTTAAATATAAGTTAGTGATTATAGATTATGAATTAATAGGTGATAGATTATAGCTTTAAATGTAAGTTGTTAATTTGTTTAGTGTAGTTGTGAAATTATAAATTTAATTAGCAAAATAGTATTTAGTTGAATAAGTTGTAAAATAATATTTTGTTGTGTAACGTAATTTTTGTTTTTTTTTTCTTTTTCTTCATTTTCTTTTCTTTTCTTTTTTTACTTATTTTCTTTTCTCTTCTTTTTTTTTTCTCTCTCTTAATTGTTTTTTATTCTCTTCTTTCTTGTTCTTCTCTTCTTACATATTAATTATATTCATATATTCATATTAATTGTGATTTCATTAATATCAATTAATACTACAATTATTAATTAGTATCAATTAATATAATCAATTTTTTTTCATTAAACAATCAAAAAAAAATTTCATTACAAAACCCTAGCCGCCCCTTTCTTCTCCTCCATCCGTACGCCACCGACCCCTCATTCTCCTCCTCCTCCTTCTCTTCCATTTCAAACTAGTGACCAGCTGGTGCTATAAAACCCTAGTTGTCGGTCTGCAAAACCCTTCTTCTCATTTTCCTTCTCCTTCTCCTTCTCCTTCTCCTCTTCATCCTAATCGCGAAGCTCTCATTCACAAAACCCTAACCGCTGGTCTAAAACAGCATTAATGTGACGGCGTTAATGCACAAGGCGTCGATGCAGGTGTGGGAGGTGACGGAAAGAGAGTGAACGCCAGAGATGATTTTCGATTTCATATCACGATGGAAAAGAGAGAGAGAGATGAGAGGGAGAGCTCTCGTTCATGAAACCCTAACTGTCGGTCTAAAATGATGTTGATGCGCAATGAAGAGAGAGGGAGAGAGGAAGAGAGAGCTCTGGGTCGTGTGTATGTGTGTTTGAGAAAGAGAGAGAGAGAGAGAAAGAGAGAGAATTGAAAGAGAGAATTGAGAACAATGTTGAGGAGCTAGAAATCGCCCTCGCCGAAAATCGCCTCTATCTCTCTCTTTCAAGTGAACAATGTTGAGAACAAGGCTCATATAGTGGGGTTTTGGTAATAGTTGAAATATCTGACGGTCATTTAAGTGATTACACACCTCAACAAACAGTTACGCGCACAATCAGTTTTCAAAAGCACCTGGGAACCAACTTAACAGATTATTGTTGAAATGGCTTAAGTTAATCTATAATCCATCCCTCATAATTTTTACCAAACACTCCAACATGACTTATTTTAAGCTATAAGTTGATTTATGCTGCAAATAAGTTTTACCAAACACCCGCTTAATAAGGAAGAACATCCCCTCCGATCCACATTTTGGACTTAAGCCACTCACACGGATTTTGTTTTGATAATTATTTATAAGCGCAGATATTTGTCCCCACCTAATTAGTTTGGCCCTTCCATTTCTTTAAACTCCTACTTAGCAAAATGAAACTCTTACATTTTTTTTAAACCCCCACCTTAATACCAACTATACCCCTAATCCCAAAACCAAAACCAAACCCAAACCCAAACCCAAACCCTAGCCCCTTTCACTTCTCTCTCTAATATGGATTCTCTCTCTTTCTTCTTTGTTTTCTTGCATTCAAATCAAGTATGAGCGAGAAACAGAGCAAGACAAAAGACTCATCAACAATGGCCACCATTAAAACCTCTATCACAGGCTATGGCAAGTGATTTCTTGCATTTCTTCTCCCTCTTCTCTATTTTCTTCTTCATCTTCTTTTGAAAACCATAGGTTTTCATATATATATATATATATATATATATCTTACTCATTCTCTCTCACAATAAATAGGGAGGTCACGATTGCGGAGTGGGTTCAACAACACAATGCTAAACAAATCTTGAATGTTGGGTAACACAGTATTGAACGAATCCTAAATGTTCGGCAATACAGTGCTGAATGAATCCTTTTAGTTCAATAACACAATGCTGAATGGGATTCAGATCTGCAATAAAGGGATGGGGGTGCTTGTCGGTGGAGGTGATGGTCGATTGCAACAGAGGGAGTAATGGTTGTGACGGTGAGGAGTGGTCAAAGATGGTAAAGGTTGCAGCAATGAGGGGTGGTTGGAGGTGGTGGTGGTTGCAGCGGTGAGAGGTGGTCGGAGATAGTGGTATTGCCGAAGGCGATTAAGGTTAGGGTTAGGGTTAGGGTTAGAGTTTGGAAAATTAGGTTTAGAAGATTAGGAATGAAGGTAAAAATGAAATTTTAGATTGGGACAAAATTGGGGAAAAAAAAAATGAATGAGGTGGGGGTTCTAAGAAAAAATGTAGGAGTTAATAGCAATGCTCTCATTTATATCATTTATTTTCTCGAGTATTTTATATATTTTATTTATATAAAAATTAAGTCAATTTAATAATTAAAATTTATTAAATTTTTTAATAAAAAAATTTATGATTTATTTTTAAATATATAATTTTTTTAAAGTTAAAAACGAGATTAATTAAATAAATTATAGTTATTAGATCGATCTAATTTTTTGTATGGATAATATACACAAAATGTCTGATAAAATAAACCATTCAAATTATCAAAATGGGATCCATGATGACCCTACGGGCCCAAATAGTGTCCTTTAATCTAAAATCTGAATTGGAGAAGATCTTCATCCTTTTAATAAATTAGTTGACCTGACATGCAGTCAACATGTAGTTATAATATTTGTTTTTTATTTTTTATTGTATTTTCATATTAGACAATATTGTTTTATATGTTATTAGAGATTTTTTGTGAGTGTGTGAATAAATTTATTAGATTTTATATATGGTAGTAAAAATGTAATAAATTAAAAAAATTTAAAAAAAAATGACAAAATTTTAATATTGAGATGGGTAGGAAATCACAATTTTTGGTATTTGTAAAATATATATATATATATTGAAACATAATTCTGGGGACATAATTTTAATATGGCGCAGGTTGTTAGTCGAATTTGCAAGTGGGTGGCAATGATTAACTAAGGTGTGATATGATCACACCAAAATCTGCGATATTCAAAGAAGGACTAGAGTCAAAGGTCATGGCAAATTTTTTGTTTGGATAAGATAAGACTTGAGAGAGTTTATCTTCTTCAGGTTAGAGGAGTTCTATATAAGAGTGATCTTAAAAAGGGATAAGAGCCCTATTAAGTGAGACTTCTAGGACGAGGAAGGCAT